GTTGTATTTTTATCATTAGAAAAATTGAGTTTGGGGGCCGGCAAGTGGTGTGGTGGTTATGGTACTGGACTCTCACATGGCTGGCTGCGGGTTTATGCCCTGGAACTGGTGGCTTGCTTTCTCACTTTCCCTTTCTCTCTCTCTCTCTCTCTCTCTCACTAATCTGCTCAAGTTAAAAAATAAATAAAAAGAACAAATAAGATTAAGTAAACATAATTTTTTGTAAAAGAGGGAAAAAAATAAAGGAAAACTGAGTTCAATGTCTTGTTCCTTCCCTAAGAACTATCTCACTAGATATATGGCCCACCATTTTTCTACTGGGTTTATATCTTTATCTTATTGATTCTATATATTCTTTGAATATTGTAAGATGATTTGTTTGTGTTCCTTTTTTTTTTTTAATTTTGGCCAGTCACTTTGTCTTTCTATCTCCCTCTTGGTAATTTTGGCCATGCACATGTTATTATTTTCTAATTTAGTTGAATATATTTATAATTCTGTGGACTCTACAACTTGACTAAATTAAAACTGTTTACTCTGAGGCCATAAAAATTATCTTATGTTAATATTGATGAAAAATACCATCTCCTCAACAAATATAAAAATTATGCTTTATTTTCTAAAAGTTAATACTTTTAAGAATATCATGATGCCCTTTCTTTAAAACATAGACTTTTAACTCTTTTCACATATATATTAGCTTTGCTTATTGTCCTTTAACTGGTTTAAAATCTATGAATTTAATTTCAATTATCTATTTTTTTTTGTTAAAGGTGACTATAAGGGAAGAAATAAGTTAGTAAATATTAATATTTTTTGATGTTACAATTTCCTGCCCTTTTCTTTCTTGCATTCACATCAGAAATATCAAGAATAGGGCTAGCAGGTGGCATGAAGGTTAAGGCAGTTGGATCCCACATGTTAACTGAGTGGTTTGAGTATGACATGGCAACTTGAAAATCATGGCAATTGGATGTGCATGTGTGCCCAAAATCCCAAGAGGAGAATGGAGAAGGGATTATGGCATGGCTAGCCCCCCTGGGGGCGATTCCTTTACCTCCATGTCTCACTTTACCTCCATGTCTCTGTCTTAAGCAAGTGCATATGCTTTATAGCAAAAATTAAAACAAAAACAAAACAATAGACTTTGTTCTAACCAAATAACTATCTCTGGCTGCTACCTAAACTCAAAAGTAAATTATTGACTATTTTACCCCCGAATCACTAGAAAACTGCCAGTTGCACTCGGCATATAAAGAACTACCATGCACGTGGCACTCCTGTGCTAGAAGCAGATTGTGCCTTGAGTTTTCTCTTCTCTCCTTTGATTTCTTCCTGAGTTCATTTTCTCCAATGCATATTTGGTGCATATGTCATCATACACTATTCAATTTTAATGCATCCATTTAATGTGGAAAGGTTACTATTTTATATTCAGTCATCTATGAAATATGATTATTCTGGCTATGTACTCCTCAAACAGCAAAATCGCAAGTTAGCAGGATAAGCTGTGGTGTGATCTTGAAACAGAGAGGAGATAAAATCCAGTGAAGCATATTTGCATAGAAACATCTCAAGGGTAAGTTTTGATGTCTCAAACAAAGCCTGCAACCTTGGTCATCTGTATTGATTTTCTCCTTTGATTTATTCAGGTGTCTGTACTTTGAAATAGCCTCTAACATACTTCATCTTGCAAATAATTATTTTCCAGTAAAAAAAGACCTGTGATTCTCAGGTCTGTCTTTCTTGGTGGTATAAACATAGGGAATCTGAAAAAGCAATACTCTTTAACTCTGTGAAATGGATTAATGGCATATCTATGAAAGGTGTTTTCTAAAATACTTTCATGGACTGATGTATGTGTGTGTGTATATCTATATCTATATATATATATATATATATAGAGAGAGAGAGAGAGAGAGAGAGAATATTAACCAATATGTGATGCTGACCTACAATTATGATGTGCAGACAATAATTTTTTTGTGGTTCTATTTATTACTGAAGTATAGCTAGAGGAAACTACTATAGCCCTTATTTACTTTTCCTAAGAAATGGTAGTCAGAATTTACTATTTATTCTGCCACCATCCCGACAATGATTTCTGAAGGATGTCCTTGTCTTGACTCACCCTAAGCATGACTTTATCTGATCACATTTACATTTAAGAATTACAATCTCATAAGTTAAATCTTATTAAATCTTATATCAAAATGAAGAGGGTGTTCCAAAGACTTGTGGGAAAGACTGAGCCAAAAGAAAAATTACTTTGGGCATCTAGATGAGGGTAGCTTTATGAAGCATTTTGCAGGGAGACTCCACTTAGTTAACATGGAGAGTTGAATAAAGGAGGGGTCAAATGTCAAGTTGAGTAGTTTTCTTGCTTTAACAAGACTATATGGCATGAATTGCTGAGACTGAAATGGTAGAAAATATAAAATTTCTGGTTTTAAACGGAATAAACCGAGGTTTTTGTGATACTTAATTTGGAAGAAAGAACAAAGGTGGGTATGTTTTGTTTTGTTTTGTTTCAGGTTTTTATTGTTTATTTACGACAAGTCTCAGCCCACCCGGTCCGCGGTCCTCTCCCATCAGAAGTTCTTAGAGACGATGCAGTCCGCCCTGGCCAGCCAGAGAATGGAGTCATTGCATTTCCCCATCCTGCGAATGGCCCCGCAGATGGCGTAGGTCTTGAACTGGCCACTAAACCTGCCGGTGACCTCGTCCACCTCGGCCACGTTCATCTGGATGGACGTGTGGTCCTTGGCACCGATGATGCGTTTGCTGGCCAAGTACTTTCGCGGCACGTACTGGTCCACGGACTCGCCGGCGGACTCTGTATCTCCAGGCTGCTCCCGCTGCTGGCACCATGCAGCCAAAGGTGGGTATGTTTTGAAATTAAAAAAAAAAATGCACACACACACACACACACAGACACACACACATATACATGAGGGGACTTTAAAAGTATGAAAAGTGAAAAGTATGAATTTAATTTTTTATTTTTATTTTGTTTTTAGTTTTTTCTATAGGGTGTGTGTACTCACCAGAGAAAGACAGAGAGAGAGAGAGAGAGAGAGAGAGATAGGCAAAGTGAGAAATTACACCCCAGAGAAGATAGCCATGCCACAATCCCTTCTCATCCATTCTTCTTGAGAATTTTAGGCATGTACACACATGCACCCAATGTGATTTTCAAGCCACTGGGAACCTTCCCATGTGGGGATGCCGCACAGAGTATTAAGTTTCACACTTTGTCATCATCCATCCCCTCCCTTTTCTATTTTTAATAGGCGTTGACTTATAGCACATTTTAAGCATTGCTGTGAAGTGAAATAATGATCTGTGAGGGAAGAGACAGTAAAGCCTCGTTCATTCTGGAGACAGCATGCTTGGGTCTGAAAGCCAAATTAAGCTTTTATTAGCAATGTGCACACTTAAGTTACTCTCTTTTTTTCAAAGGCTCAAGGAAAATACAGATTCTAAATTAGAGCAAGAAGGTAAATGATGTAATCTGAGAAAAAAATAGAGAGGTGATTTTACCAATGACTGAGTAAACATCCACTAGTGGCTAAGAAATGTGTGAGTTGAGACTTGTAACTTAGGTTGGTGACGTATATGAGCCCTACTAGATTTTCTGAGTAGTTTTTTTTTTTTTTTTTTTTTTGGGGGGGGGTGTTTTTTGTTTTGGGGGGGGGCGCGTGGGAGTCCAGCGACGTAGGCATTACGCTAACTGCTGGTCCCGTGGTCCCGAGCAATACAAGAGATGAAAAGTAGTCCAGAAATTTTGAATTTTTTATAGACATAAATAAAGATCTGACCAATCATTAAAAAGGATAAACCTCACAAAGAAATTAATCTTCATGGTCTCAAGGTGAATAGTGTTAGTGAGATTTTGGGTGCTAGGGTAATAAAGGATTGATGAGCCTATTGCCCTGAACGTTCTAGAATCTGCTACCCTTTTCTTTTGGTCTATTCAACTCAAACCCTAGAATTCACATCCACTGTGCATTCATATATTTAATATTTTCCCATTGGTAATTTCATCTGTTAGGGACTTGGGATGTGTGTTTTGTTTTTTTTTTCTTAAATTATGAGGTTCCTGATTTAGGGTACTTGTACTCACTGGAGAGACAAAGACACTGAGAGGGAAAGTAAGATATCTCCTCCAAGCTACATGTACTTAAGTCTTAAGAGTTTTGGGCCCTACTTTTTGTGTTTTTGTTTATTTGTTTGGTTTTGGTTTTGGCTAGTCACCAATTCCATGGCTACTAATAATTTCATATTTCAGTACTTCGATAGGCTTCTAACTGGTATTTTGCTTTTATCTATTTTAAGTGTATATTTCATCTTCTACCTGGCTATTAAAATAACTTCTCTAGGGGCTGGCAGGTGGCATAGTGTTTAAGGCATTGGTCTCCCACATGGTTGAGCAGGGTTCCAATGCCAGACCTGGTGGCTTCTTTCTCACTTTTCTTCTCTCTGTCTCTGTCTCTGTCGCTGTCTCTTTCTGGCCAAATTAAAAATAAATTAATTAATTCGATGAAATTTTTAAAAAATTTTAAAAATTGTCTAAAATTCTATTCTGAACTTACTTTTCTGTTTTCCATTTCCTTCACTAACTTTATTTTCATAATAACGTACAAAAGTATCATCGTTGCATACAAATGTCTTTATTTTTTGATTATTGTTTACATTTACTTCTTCATAAAACATTTACTCAATCAACGAATGCTGCTGTGTGTCTGCTGGAGACTATTTCAAGCTCTTTGAATACATTAATGAATAAAATAGCAGAAACCTTTGCCACTATGTAATATGTGCAATAGCCAAATGCCAACTTCAGAGTTTCAAACAAACACTTTCTCCCCGCGGAATTATTTTTTTTTCTGTTTTCTAAGATAATGCAGTGTGCTCATTCAGGCCCTAGTCAAAGAGGCGGTCTACTTCCATAAACTTTCCTTAAAATCCTCTGCACATCTTCTTCCCACTCCCCTGGTTTGAGGAATGTAACCATTCTGTGCACTCAACGTTTCTCATAGCTCTTATAGACTGATTGCCTTATATTTTTTGTATATTATTTTATTTATTTAATTGCCCGTCGATGACAAATAAATATCTGAGGTAGGAGAAACTCATTTTTTGTACCCCTATTGCTTACAACAATCGTTGACATGATTAACTCTAAATGCTTTGACCTGAACATTTATCTACTTTTATCATGTCATCTTTTAATAACTAAACACATGTCTGTGGTTATTCCTCTAAGCCACATTCAATTAAAAATTATAAGTAAATTTGGGCCATAAACTATCCTGTTACCCTTAAAAGTGTATGAGACATCTTCAACAAATAGATGGAAAATGTGAATTCTGAGAATTTTTACAACAATATTAATTTATACTTATTTTTTATTGAAGAGACAGATTTTGCTATAGGGCATGTATGCTTGTTAGACAGAAACAGAGAGAAGGCAGGAAATCACCCCCCTCAAGGATAGCCATGCTGTAATTCCTTCTTTTCTCAGGATTTTGGGTACAGATGCACACAAATGCTCAGTGAGAGGTTCAAGCCTTTGGGTCCAGTACTCGAACCACAGTCAACCACATAGGAGTCCAGTGACATAATCATTATGGCATCTGCTGGCCCCAATAAATTCATACTTCAATTCAATTTTTAAATTCTTTATTGACGTTCCCTTGTATAACCATATTCTATGAAGATAAGATATAATTTATTTCTTTGATAATACTTTGGACCTGTGAAAGTTTTTAAAAATCAGAATGGAGTCATTTATGTCAACCCTGACTAAACTTACTCTGAAGGGCATGGAGGAGGTATTTTCTCATGCTACCATGCTGGATAGCAAGAACTGTTATTTCGAGACTTTCGCCGGAAACTTAAACCCACACAGAGAACAGTGCAACCTGACTTCTGCCAAGACACCTGCCAGAGACTGTCTAACCTCAAACGGATGCAATCTATTTCTTTAAAGAGATTTTTTGTTATAGGGCATGTGTGTTTGTGGGGAAGACAGACACAGAAAGCAAGAAATCACACCCAGCGGGAAGGGCCACACTGCAATCCCTTCTCCATCCTCCTCTTGGGTTTTTAATCTCACATTCGTATGTGTCTGGCATGAGATTTTAGTCGCTGGGTCCTGGACTCGAACTGCAGTCGACTACATGAGAGTCCAGTGATGTAAACATTATACCATATGCTGGTTCCAAATGGATGCTATCTTTATTAGTGTTCCTGCTAGCCAAGGATAATTATTCCCAAACATTTAGTGTTACCTCTCCCCTCATCTCTCCTGCTTGTAAGCCATGAGTTATACATGCTCAAAAGGAGGAATATCATTGGCGAAAATTAGAAATAATACTCTGCTTTCCAAATGTGCTTTCCAGGTAGTTTATCATTGTCAAAATAGGACAATTGTGGATTTAGTATGCCATTAAAGTGTCAGATACCCCAGAAAAAAAAATAAAACTAGTCTGAGGTTTATAACACTATGGTGAGCAGGTGAGTATGTCTGAGAATTATACTCATCCAGGCTATGCCCTGGTGCAATCCTGAAATTTAAGCCCAAATAAAGCCCTTTTGTTTCTTTTAATATTTTACCTTAGGGACCAGCAGTTAGCGTAATGGCTATGTCGCTGGACTCCCATAGCCGACCATGGTTCGAGTCCTGGCCCAGTGGCTTAAACTCATGCCGGGCGCGTGTGCGTGCGTGCCCAAGATCCCCAGAGGAGAATGAGGGAGTAGAAGAAGGGATTGCGGTGTGACCACCCCCCCTGGGGGTGATTTCTCGCTTTCTGTCTCTCTATCTCACTCTGTCTGTCTGGCAAGCGCACGCGCCCTACAGCAAAAACGTCTCATATATATATATATATATATTTTATCTTAGTTTATTTTAGGTTAATAAACCTTGTCTTGACAAATTTTAAAATATATAACTTGAGATGATTTTGTAGTCTGGGAAAACATTTTTTAATTGGAAAAAAAAGCTGCACAGTTTTTTTTTATAACTTTTAAAATGGAAAAATAGTTTTACTCAGATTTTAAATATCTTACTTGTTTTTAAAGTCAATCTTAACTCTCTTCTGATTTTCACATTTGTTATTGGAAAATGTAACGTCCAGATAAGAGAAGTTCAATCAGAAATACTGGAGGATATAAAGGCATAGAGAAGGCCATGGATACTGGAGACAGCGTGGTAAGAGGGTGGTAAGTAGGGGGAGGGTGAGAGGAAGGGAATCGAGGAGAAAAATAGGAAGGCAAGACATTTAAGGCACACAGAAATGGAGGGTTGTCTTTGATGATAACATGTATGATAGTATCTTTTAGTGGACTGGTGTGCAGTGTATCTATGCTGGGAAAATTCATTTTACAAGCTGTAGTGCTATACAGTGATTGAGTATATAAAATTTTAAAAAAAGAGAGAGAGAGAAGTTCAAGCATAGTGGTCCAACTTAGAAGTTTGCAACTAAGGTGATTATCTATGTTATGTATGCCCATATTTTCTTCCTCTAAAAATACATAATTAATGATTTCATTAAAGTGATCAAAATTACTAGCTTCATAAAATGAATTTTACTAGATTAAAACCATTACATTTTTCCTACATTTGCAAATAATATACTAATTCAAATTTCTTATCTGTATTATAAATTAAATTTTTAAAATGTAGAGCAACCATCTTCTGAAACTGTCACAGTTAATTTTGAACTCAACAGTAATGGTTTTATTGCCAATATACTCATTAAATAATTTTGAAAAAGGAGCATCCTACTTTGGAAATGTTCTCTTTGGTCTCAAAATGTTCAGGAAGATCCCAGTGTACCTTTCTGTATCTTGGTAA